TTTGAATTGAAGGGGTTATATTTTTAGGAGCGATTAATTTTTTGAAAGAAAGTTTTTGACATTCTACTACTTGATACAAAAAAATGTGGGAATCTTCCAAAGAAAGGAAGGAAGTAGCTGTTTCAGGAAGGACTTTCTTTCAGTTTGTGTCTGAAAGTTGCTTCTTTGCATGATTTACACATCCATGTATAGAGTTACATATTTTCAAATTGATTACTTCCTTCCTTTCTTTGGAAGAATCCCACATTTTTTTGTATCAAGATGGAGTAGTAGAAAGCCAAAAACTTCCTTTCCCAAAAATTAATCACTCCTAAAAATATAACCCCTTCACACCCAAATACTTTCCATCTTTTAAAAAAATTAGTTTCTACAGAAGCCAATGGCACTGTATGAAAATGCAGTGTCATTGCAGCAAATCAATCAAAATTGCTGGATTGTTCCAGCTTATTCTCATTGGTCACGAAAAACACTGAATCAATAACAATAACACTGAATTCAAATAATTCAAGAAGCAATCGGATTCGTCATTATTCTAGGTGTAGTTACAAAATGATATTGAAGACAGAAGATCAGAACGGATTCAGTAGTGCTAGCAAAGAAGACGCTGCTATCACAATATTTGAGAGGTCAAAGGGTTAAGAAAAAGGGAATCAGGCAAGGTATTGGAAATGTTTAGTTCTTATACCACACATTGAAATAATTTTTTTTATTCTCATATTCAGGTCTATTCATAATTTTCTATTATTTGAAAATATATTCAAGGTCATATACTGTCTGTTTCTGGTTTATTTCACTTCATTCCTCCAGATGGATGGATGCTGTTGACAGTTCCATCATCTATACTAACTTCCGGCTCATATATTTGGATAGACTTGAATTCAGCAGTGAAGAGCAATATGAAAATCATAACTGAAGTGGCGCAGATCCATTCTGATAAGGTACTGATATTATGCCATTCGAAACCACCGTCTTTTTGTTGCCACTTTAGGTGATCTCTACCTGAAAAAACAACTGATGAGATAACGTTCAATGACAATGTAACTTACGTAAATTTTGTTTTTTGAGCAGTTTAGGAGTATAAAGATGAAGTCACATTATCAAGCATGTGACAAATGTCTAGTACTGCGTCTTCAAGTGGGTCATTTTAATAAAATTCTATTTGATCATTTTTCATTGAGATAGAGGGTTGTCTCATTATATAATGAGAAACATACATTATAAATATAGTTTTTGAAAAAAATGTTTGACTTTTTACCCCTGTACATGAGTGTACAAAAAATAAAAAAATTTTCTTCCATTTTGTGAAAATAATTTGCAAAATATAATCAACTACGGAAGCGTAGAGGGGCCAAAGATTATTTGTTCATTTGATCCGCCATAATTTCACTGTGGTTCTGGCGTTGAATTTGGTCATTATTACGCCTTGGTCAAAGAAGAAACGGACTGGTTTAAGTTTGACGATAGTCGTGTCACACTTGGCGATGCATTGAATTTATTGGAGCCTCTAGAGACACCCTACATTTTGTTTTATAAGAAAGAGGACATTGTTAGATCAAGCTCTTCAGATGATGTGGTGCTGCAGGTTTTTCCGGGTTTTCCTGCAGCTGAAAAAGCAAATGCGCCACTNATTACGAGATAAAAGTCGAAATTACGAGATAAAAGTCGAAATTACGAGATAAAAGTCGAAATTACGAGATAAAAGTCGAAATTTCGACTTTTGAGTCGAAATTATGGTGGATCAAATAAACAAATAATCTTTGGCCCTTCTACGCTTCCGTAATTAACTAAGAACTGTTTTGGTTGGTTTCTGGGTTTTGCCGTGGTCTTCTGTTTCCGCAGAAGTAAGGTGATCTCTGCGGCTTTTATATGAGCTTTTTCCTGAACAGATTCCATCTTGGTGACAGAGTTGTGGTCCCCTCGTTCAGTGTTCCAGTTCCTGCTCTCTCATGGACACGGACTTTGCAGAGAAAGGGACTCGAACTCCTGACGATTTTACAGGCTACATCCAGTACCATTCTGTCATGTAGACACTGCAAACTCAATAGTCTATGGCCTCCCTGTTGTCGGGGGGAGTACAACTGTGGAACGGACGATTTAGGATGCATACTTCTATAGAGATGCATCATTTTTCGGGTCTTTATGTCGAGTTGATACAGTTCCTCTCGAGTCAACTCCAAACGAGTAGAGTGAGATTGGAACGGCAAGCATAATTGTTGCAGCAACACTGTTCTTGCCCGTCAGTTCCGATGACCAGATCTGTCGTAGTTTGTGCTGATACTTGCCGCGGAGAGAGTTCGTCACTGCTGTTACCTCTTATGAGTGGCGTTGTTCCACCCCGAGGCATCCAAATGGTGTAGGATGCTTCCATTTACGAGCTGCACATCCTCTCCGTGGTCCCCCCATCGTCGCATATAATTATTGTTATTATTATTAGAGATAAATGAAGGCTGAGGACAGAGTCTTATATAAGCCTAATAATAAGTTCCACAAGTTAATACAATGCATGCAAAAAGAAAGAAAAATAATTAATATATGCATAGAAACGGTTGAGCAAATAAGCAAATGTCTATTTTGTTTTGAAAACTATTCACTGAGTCAGAATTCACAACATCGTTTTGATTCACATCGTTAGGTTAGTTATTCCCCACGGAGTCGACGTTGGTCAACAGCTATCAGTGGTGCCATCCTCAGTCTCTCGGGATAAGTTGGACACACTTACCAAAAGTCATAAGCGTGGCTCAACGATGACCATTTTCCACCAGGACAGGACACCACACCGGACCTGCACACTCCATAATTGGACGAACGTAGGTTTTGCAGAGTTTCATGGAACTTGAATATGATAAATGGAAAAACGTTTTGCGGATGAGGTAGATCAGAGTGTTGGAGCGTTTGTATGTAGTATGTAGATATACTATGTTCGGACCAAGTTAGGTCAGTATTAATAGTCACACTCAAGTCTACATGTGAGAACACTATACATAACGATTAACCGTTAATTGTGAACGTGTGGAGTGGAATGTTCTTTAACTGAATCTTCTGTATTTATATCTTGGTATCAATTAAATCAGAAAAAACAATGACACAATAACATGTTCGTTCGAATAATTTTGAGCATACACGAAAATGAAATATTAGCATCCGCAGTATGTTGAAAACCTAAGCACCATTACCAGACTCAAATAACAGTTGATTGCCTGTTGCATATTCCACATAATGAATTTCTTTTATTTTTACAGAAAGTGCTATTGCTAACTGGTAGTTATATAGCAAATTATCATACCTTGAAATTGTCTATACGATACCATGGCTGCGACGAAGAATATAACAAAACTTATGGTGGAAATGACTGACAGGACAACTCTCAATTGTGTGCTTCTCCATTGTCCAATGACGGGGGTTATCTTCAAATATATAATGGTCTGAAATCAAATATGAGGACTGAATAGAACTGTCCAATACTTGATGAAAATGCATATCAAAACTCATCAATATAGTTTATTGTATGATTGTATGTTTACTGTATGACTTTCACTATAAATTTTCATAGTGAAAATCATACAATGAACTGCATTGATGAGTTTTGAAAGTGAGGATGAATGTGAAGGAATGTTTTGAACCGGGTTAGATAAGTATATACGTCAAATTTTTTTTATTGAAAAAAAGATAAAAATACTTCGAACTCATCATAACTACTTCACTACTCTTACCTGAAGACAAATATAAATAGCTCCACCTCCGAAAACCAGCACAGCTCCAATCCAGTGGACTATGAATAGATTCGTTTCCTGAAAATTGGCCACAATGCTAACCCCAAATGCTGCAATTAATCCGATTCTCAAAGAAATTTTATTGAGAGAATTTTTGTCTACGATGTTATGATTCAGAAATATACATTGGACTTGTTTGAACTTGATGTACATCGAGAAAGAGACTGGAAGGAAATAAAAAAAAGAACTATATTCCAAATGGACATGCGTGTGGGCTTACTAAGAGTCCATAGTATATTCAGAACTTGACCAAAAATGCAGCTTTCGGGAGGAAGTGTTCCGGTGTCACTGATGTAAGGTATGATATGGGTCACGTGGCCATAGTGGAATGACAAAGATACCCTGAAACAGAAAGTCGTAAGAAACTAGTTTTAAGCCATGATTACTGCCACATCTCCAAATTTGACCTTCGAAAGGTGAGTTTTTCTGAATATTTTATTGAACCTCTCACGAATAATTATTTTCCAAACGTGATGAATACAGTAACTATTTGTTCTTGAGTATGCAGAAAGAAATTTACTCACGTGATTACCACCAGTACTAATAACAGATTGCAAATAATGCTTGGCAACCACTCCACAGATATTTTCATTTCGGTTTAATGATACAGTTGAGCAACGCAAAATGGAACATACACTATCAATATACCCACAATTTCAACATGCGAAACAAATAACTTTTCAGTACTCGATCAATGTTCTACCTATTACACAAACTTTGATCGTTGAAGGTCTTCCAACTTGTAGTTGTTTTTTAGCAGCATACTATTTTTGTTCATTTGTTTAATGAATGTTGTCAAAAGAATTTATATAATCGACAAAAGTTGATAATTTCACTTGGACCACTTTCCAAAGCATCATTTGTTCATAAAATACAAATTTTGGTCGATAACCCTTAGGTCACCTTTTTGATAAAGCGCAACAGTTGAGGGCTACTCTTTATTTATTATTGATCTGTACTTTCAATTTTTCAATGAACTGCATTTGAGATTTTTGAACTGGGATGAACTTTATTTCTTTATTTCTTTGCCCAGAAAACTATTTTTTAATGGACAGTGTTTCTCCAAATGTGTTAATAAGACGTCTCTCATGAAAAAAACACAAATGCTACAGAAACTTGAAGTCATGAAAAAAATGCATACAAGATGACTCCCAATGAGTAAGTATCTATTAAGGCGAATATCCGTATGGACCGTAACGCTTCCGAAAGCATTTTACGTTACGTATCAATCATTCGAACCAAACAAGGTACGAAATAATATAGCCTGCAACTGGCAAAGATACGCGTGCGTGACTAACAATCCTTTCATACGACGGCTAAATACCGACCAATTGTGGTTAGGCCCGTAGAGTCAAGTAGTACGGAAAAAAAGGAAATAGTACTTCGTCCTGTTGTGTAATGTGTTCGTGGTTATGGTCCGGGCGATTTTCTACAAATGAAAACGACCCTCACAAGTACAATGTCAAAGTGATGCGTATAAAATTCAACAGTAATCAACCTTCACCGTAACGTAAATTGTTCATGTTTATATACGTTACGTATATTTGGTTACAATAGATACGCACTTTAACGTGCCTCATATAAGTACGATGTCAAGTTGGTGCGTATAAAATTCTACAGTAATCAATCTTCACCGTAACGTAATGTTTTCATGATTGCGTTACGGATAATTGGATACAATAGATACGCACCTTAACATAACCGAATGAGATATGTTGCATGCAATGGTGGAGGCCTCGATAGTTCAATTTGCTCACTAATCTATAATCCATGAAAAATGGAGCAAGCGGTAGTTCAAGCAGTGAAAGACAATGAATAAAGACGAACGACACCGGCAAAAAGTTATACTTTTATACATATTAAATTGGATTCATGAAAACCACAGATAAAACAATGATAAAGAGGACTCATGCCATTGATATGGCAATCTGAGGAAAAATAAATGTAATCAAAGGAAAAATATTTGAATTTTCATTTTTCTTACTGTTAAATACATCCACATTCAACAAGTTGAAATAGCTGCCTGGTAATTGTGTCTATTTAACATATTTTAAAGGAATTTCACATTCTAGAATAAAACAAATGTTTCAATATGAAAAAATGTTTTTGAATAATAAAAAAAAAATGTTTCCGCCCGGGATCGAACCGGGGACCTTCCGCGTGTTAGGCGGATGTGATAACCACTACACCACGGAAACAGTTAGCGGTTTATGAATTATTTTAAAATGATAATTCATTGCCTCTATTTTCTATTTTGTAACTTCCACACTTTTTCAGCAGGATGAAATTTAATCAAATGGAATCAGGGATCAAGTGAAACCTCATTTGAAAGGTCATTGATTTCTTTTTTCAACAGTTTCATTTTTTGAAATTCGATGTAATAGTTTTCTAGAAAAACACCCGTCATTGAAAAATCTAACAATAAATGAACGTAAAGCGTCTTTTCACATTTGATACTAATTTTTCTTATATGCACCTTATGAGTACAAGTCTTAGAAATCAATTGACAATGAATGAGAATTAGCTTGGAAAAGAAGTGAAACCCAAATAACTTGGGTTCTTAGCAACCTAATAGGCAGAAAGAAACGAAAGGATTCATGCAGCAACTTCTCATTCAGTTTGATAAGTGGAGACTGTGAATGTTTCGCTACAAACTTAATCTAATGTATAATATATGTATTTGTCGAATTATAAAAGTTTTAAAAATTAAGTGGCTGCCAAAATCTTTGACATTTCGTATATACCAACCCTGACTGATTATGATTTTCCAATATATGTTTGGAATTGTCCTTTATTTATACCAAATGTCAACTATCACGTGTTATTGCTTGTTAATTGACTTTAAATTACAGTTGAACTTTGTTTTAGCGCAAACCCAGGAGGTATTTGGGTCCGACTCAGATCCACTTCAGTGTGGGCTCCATCTGAAGTAGCAACATATTTCTGGTACTCCTGGCTTGATAGCCCTGGCAGCTGAAGCCATTTTTGGAAACATACGAAGAAGAAAATCGAAACTGACAGTGACAGTCACCTTTGAGCTGTCAATGGTGTTAAACAAACCCTTGGAAAATGGACACCCCAATTGTAGCTCTAGCCCCTGACGATGTTTTGGAAGTTATATTTTCCTATCTTTCCCTGCGTGACCTTAGGAACTGTTCTCTAGTGTGTAAAAGGTGGTACAGTTTTTTGAATTACGAAAATAACGACGTGTGGAGGTTACACTGTAAAAGAAAACTTGCTGAGGAAGCACTGAAATCCGATATACTCAGCTCCGTGCCCACTTACAAGGCCAAACTGAGGGCTTTCTACCATGCATGGAATCCCAATGACTGTTCTAGAAATATTTACATCAAACCCAACGGTTTCACTTTACATCGAAACCCTGTGGCTCAAAGTACTGACGCTTCCAGGGGGAAGATAGGATTTCGTCACGGGAGGCACGCTTGGGAAGTGATCTGGGAGGGCCCCCTGGGGACGGTAGCCGTTATTGGAATTGCTACGAAGGATGCTCCTTTACAGTGTCACGGTTATGTGGCACTACTTGGGTCGGATGATCAAAGTTGGGGTTGGAACTTGGTGGACAACCATTTGTTGCATAACGGAGATGCACAAGGAAATTATCCCATGCTTAATAATGTCCCTAAGTACCAGGTTTGTATTTTGTTCGATTACATTAGGTATAGTTTGACATGTCAACATTTTGAATATCTGCTTCCTATAGAAAGAAACAATATTATTGTTGGAGCTTGAAAGAAGTTTATAGCAGTAAGAAAAGTGTTGAGAATAACTTTTCCTGATGGCTTCGATCAGGGCATTGAGAATATATCTGTTTTTGTTCGATATACCAGTTGAATGATGATTGACATAGTTTCAAATTAGTTTTTGAATAGATTGAAGTACAAGATAGAAGTCTCATTAGAACTCAAAGATCAACTTCAATGATAGCACAATAAAAATCTCAGCATTTCACTTCATATAATGTCGTTCATATTGAAACTATGGATATGTTCGATTTCAAAGAAGAAGAAACTAGTTTTAAGCCATGATTACTGCCACATCTCCAAATTTGACCTTCGAAAGGTGAGTTTTTCTGAATATTTTCAAACACATCAATCTTTTTATTTATAAGGACCATAACTGGAATTCTAGTCAGTTATCCATTAGTTTTTGTCTCTGATGGCATTTCTCCATCCTTAGATTCGACAAATCTTCTTCTTTCAAGTAGATGAAATCTTCAAAACCATCATCATCTCCAATATTTTTTCCAAACATATGCATCTGTGCATATAATTCAAAGGTATAGTGTAAATTTTAATTGATTGCGCAAAATTTAAAATGCAGTTGAAATTTTTATTTCCAAATTATTCTTTTTTTCATCTGAGAAAATTTACGATAGTAATGTATATTTTTTGAACCATCAGAAAAACGAGATTTTGATGAACAAAAAACGCTCTGACTTTTCAACAAGCATATTTTTTGGTGCGAGAAATTTTGGTTTATAACTAGGGTGCTTTTTCGATATAAAATCAAAATAGGGCAAAAAAAAATTTTGATTTAAAGAAATTAGAGCGTGTTTGGGACATAAGAAAATAGGTTTTCACCAAATTTTGTGAAAAAATAAATCGAAAATGAGAAACCAAAGAGTTGATCATTTGGATTTTTCTTATATAATTGGAGGTTATTTGAAAAAAGTGTGAGCACAAAAGTAGTAGATCTTATTATCTGTAACTTTTCCATTCGAATGTTTTGGTAAAACTTGTAGTTTTCTCAGAAATCGTGATAATCCATTTTCCACCCTTAAAAGCTCACCCCCTTCCTTTTCCAATGAATAAAATCCTGTTCTATTTTTTCACTTTCACCATTATCAAAGGCTTCAGCCTTGGCCTAAATACCTTTGAGGAATTTTTTAATATGACAATCTCTAATCTCAGTCTCTCCCTATCATTGGGGGAACTAGCGGGGTCTAGGGTGGGCTTACCCTCCCAAGAGCTACGGTTAGCCCCCTAGACAAACAAAAGAAATTTATGGTTGCTAGCACATTAAAAAAGCTACAAGGGAATGAAGCAAATGTTTACATTGAATAAATTTGACCACAACAAGTTCTGGGCAGCAGTCAACAAGATTTCAATAAGTGTCGGTCTCTTCCATTAAAAAATAAAAGGACTGGATATCATATTTTTTTTCATACTGAGAACTTCTTTGTATGCTTGGATTATAAAAGGCTGTTAGCTACCACTGTACTCATATAATTGTCCGAAAAATACATTCCATGTGTGTTTGTTTTTATCATGTCCAAGTTTTATTATGATTAGGCAAGAGTAATTTTTCAAACTGTCAACTAATTAGAGGAATGAATTGATTATTGCAACAACATTTTCGTGGGTTTCTGGATCAGCCTTTGAATGATTGTTTGGGAAAAAAATATCAAGAATGCGATTTGAGACATCAAAAAATCAAAATAATTTCGTCTCCTCCCACCCACAGCTTACTGAGGGTTATTATATTCTCTCTAGACTACTGGGGGCTATAGCCCCCCCCCTAGACTTTTAACCTAGTTACGCAAATACTCTCTATAATTCAATCTTAACAAATTTCCGAGGCAAATGTTCCTTTAATCTTTTTGCATGTTCAACCTTATTAACTACAATTCCAAAGATGCTTTTGCCTGCTTCACAATTTTATAACCTATTGAATTCTGCCCTACCAAATATTTGTAATTATTGTGTGCATCTTCATTGTCGATATCTTTCATTTGGTAGGTAGAATTGAACCCTCCGGCATAAAATTATTTCAAGGAAAACACTTTTTCCATATCCGAACAAAAATCTCTTGTGTGTTTCGTTAACCAAGCCAGCATCATTAGGACCTCCTGATTATACCATCAAAAATTAGTGTTTTCTGTTTTGCTGTAAGAAAATTGTTTTCCTTGTGATCTCTTTCATTTTATAAGTTACCATAATTGGAAATATTTCTTAGAATAAGTTTGACAATGGAACTTCCTCTCTGATGAAGCATTTCTGATTCCGATATTCTGATTCCCTTTTTCTTGAATTTACAACACATCTTCTAATCACAGTGAGTTCATGAGAAAAAATGAAAACATAAAGAAGTACATAAACAAAGATTAGTGTTTTTGATATGATTTTTTTTTCAGGTTGGAGAAAGAATAAGGGTAATATTAGATTGTGACGACAATACACTTTCTTTCGAGAAAAACTACGAGTTTCTAGGTGTAGCATTTCGAGGTGAGTGAAAACGTCATGATATTTGTTCTCATCACTAGGAAAAATGCCTTCATTTATTGGATATCCTATTCAGGGTTCGATAAAAAAATAAGGTGAATTATAATGTTTCTCTAAAAATATTAATTCGTTCATCAATTTCTATTTTGTTCAAAGTAGTTCTCCTCAGATATAAGATACTTGTTGCAATCGTTGCAAAACGCTGTCTTTTCATGAGTTTCTTTAATCTTGGGAATAGGAGAAAGTTGTAGCGATTTTTTTATGTTGATACACTTGTTTCAAGCCCGCGAAAATTGAAAACTCACCTTATTTTCTCAACAGACCTCATTTAAGATTATGATTTGCTTTACTCTCATCCCAATTCGAATGAATCATACACTGGTGCACTTGATGAGAAAGAAAAAGAATTTCTTTTTTCAGGTTTACCATCCAAGAAGCTTTATCCAACAGCATCTGCCGTGTATGGCAACACGGAGGTATCCATGGTGTACCTTGGACCGCCTTTAGATGGCTAACACACCACCAGGAGAAAAGACCAAAGGACTCAAATGAAGAAATGATGGAGAGAGATTTCACAGGTCTGTTCCAAAGATAAAGATGGTTACTTCAGGTCAGTCTGGTTTGCCCATGTGATAATAATGATGTATTTATTTTGCGTTGTTCAAATAACCGGCGAAACTTCCAGTGTTTTACAGAATGACACATACAGAGTAAGAGGTGTAGTTCTTGATGGCAGTGAGTATCGGATACTGATTCGTACTTTTACAGGCAAGCCCTTTTGACAGGGATTTGCGGGAGACATTAATCTGATGATTTCGACTGAATGTCAAGCCCTAGTCTGAACGATCGATCTTCACTTGCTACCGTCCAACCCGTGTTAGGAATCACACGTTAAAAGGTAAGACCTCGTTAATCCTTAGCTACCACAAGTTTCGACTTCTGAGGGTTGTCGTTCGTAGGGGTGCGACAGCTGGTTAACGGAAAAACAGATTTTAAACAGATTTTATACAGAAACTATGCGCCATAATACTTATTTCAACTTTGATAGACATAAACAGAAGAATTAGGAAAGTCTCCATAACTAAATTCAAATTATTTATACTGACAGCTAAATTAATTAACTGGATTTTCAATACCAAAATTATTCAATTTTTGTTTTGATTGACAGGATTCAATCCCCACCAGGAAGGTGTTAAAATTGGGAACTTCAGAACCATTTCATTCTTAAAGAAACATAAAAATAATTGAAAATTTGGTGGACATCGACAGATTAATAATCAATTAATAATATCCCCACCGAAAATCAGTTTGTTTCTAATGGCAAAAGAAGGTGTGTGTTTTTTTCTGTAAATGACCTATGAGACTATTGATGAAGGTGAGGCCTGCAGCAGTTATTTTTCACCTGTCGAAAACTTTTCATCAAATAAAATACAAAATTGTGATGCATTAGATTTAGAAATATATGACTGTCATGTCTCAACTTCTAAAAAATTCAAAATGGTTTGCGGAATCTTCATACAAATTCAATAATCAAACCAGTTGTTCCACAAGGATCCGTAAGAAGGGGGTCCCATTCTGTTTTAATTTCATATAAACTATTGGCATATGTTAAACACATCTTTTTCAGAAAGCAGTTTGGTAACTACCAGATAATATTTACAATTTTAACTTTCATCAAAGTTGATTGTTTACTCCATGATTTTGAAATACAATACTTTGAAAAAAAAAACAAACCATCAGTCTTGTCGTGGTGATCCCTATGCCTATTAATATGTAGAAATTGAGAAAAATGGTTGGAGTAATTTCTATAACGGTTCCCATCACTTTTGTGGCCCAAGAACATCAACAGAATTCTAAGCAAGACATCCACGGAAACCTAGTTGGTCATTCTTACATTCAACAGTTTGGTGGATTACACAAAAGTTGAATTATGTTGCTCAAAGAGATGTTAATGTCATACTTGGTATCCAGAGAAGTCGAATGCAAAGGCTGGCATTTTGGTTAACTATAATTGGTCTGTTATTTTTACATGAAAATTACATTGTATACTTTATGCCGAGATTTTAGAGATGACAGTAAAACAAACCATTTATGGTTTAGGGAATAGAAAACCCACCAGACTTAGATGAAAATTTACTTTTATCTATGCTGTAAAAAACAAAATGAGTTACTCCATTTTCAACAATGTGGAGCACACCTTTATATACTACTGATTAGAGAAGGATTTAAAAATGAACTGAATCCTTGGAAGACCAATGAAACGACCACTTATATGAAGTTCTAATACCACTTCTGGGATTATTTGAAGTCTGCAGTATTTTTATTTAAAATCTCATTCATTTCCGGAATTGAATAACAGAATTACTAAAAAATGTCTCTTTAATTTTTTTTTGGATTTTCTCCCGTTTTATACTTTCAGCAAAAGCATATTGTTGATCGGTAACGAATCCATTCAGTAGTTACAATTTACCATTGCAGTCCAAAATTTCTTTTTTTTATCTATACAAAATATAATCATTCCATATGGTTTAAAAGATCATCGGCCGTGACGTCAGGACCTTATGTCTGTATTGACTTGAAAAATCCTGGAATTGAGCCATCCTTTTGAAGGGTCATGATTCGGATAACCAACGAACTAACTAGTAGGCATAATGTTCAAACGGTAGTAGGTTTAATGATCATGCACATGCAATCAGCATACAAGAAGCTGAGCATTTCAGGCTGAAGCAGTTTTTTTTCTAAAAATTTTACAAAAGTGACATCTCTTCTGCATCTCCATTCTACAACATTCAAAATTTGAAATGAACGATCAGTTTGACGTTTGCCAGGAAGAATACCATAATCTTCTGGATGCCATGTACTCTATTGCAGAATACAACATGTTATTGAAGAAGTCGTTTGCTACCATGCGATCTCTGGATCCTGAAACTTCGAAGGAATACTCTCCTGCGTTCAGTTTGAAAATTTATCATAGACAAATTGAAAAGACGTCCATCTCCGTGTCCGAACTGGAGTATGATATAAAACTGTTCGAGAAATATGTTCTTGGAATCTAAGTGATTTTTTGTACAGTATGGTCTGAATAAATTTTAAGCAAAACTTTGTGTTGATTTTCAGAAAAGATTTTGTATAGATGTCCTCACTTCAGCTGGTCTCTTGAAAGTGATTTTTTTGCCATAAAATGTGACCTGATTTTTTTTAGTTACCTTGTTGATACTGGTAGTTATGGCAGACTTGATATTCATTTCAATCAATAATAAAATCATTGAAGAATTCAATAGTTTAGGTCAGAAGTCAACTGAAAAATCAAATGTGTAGTCTATACTGAAAAGAAAAGCTGGTCGTCGATAGCAACTATAATATTGCAGTTTTTTGCAAAAAGAATCACAAGCAATGTAAGGCAGTGGTCAGCTTTTGACAATGAAGTGTCTTTGATCAATTGATCTACAGAAATTTATTTAAGGCATTTTTCAGATTCTACTTTCAGTTATCACTTCTATTATTAGTATATTGTGATGAGTTGAAAACTAAGGAAGCAAGAAATACGTGTCTTCATTCATAAAATCGAAACTTTCTGCTAGTCATTAAATTTGACCTTTCATTGTTCAGTGTTGTCGCAGTTGCACATTTGAATTTCTGTTTTAGAGAAGCAAAATTGAAAATTAACAAATACTTTAACTCGAAGCTGCCAATTCATAGTTGTTAACTTAATTCTTGGTTGAGTTGAATATATGGAATTGCCATTATGTTTGGGGAGTTGCATGTTATGTATGGATAAAATTTTCTGTATTTTCGAAAATAGGGTTCCATATATTTTCGTCGCTAAAATATGCATTTGAGTTGTGTACTAATTCACTTGAAATGAAGTTGAAAATATATGAAACAAATATTTTAAAGGCACAGTATTTATTTGGGTTATGTACTGATTTTGATTTTACTTAGAAAGCTGTTTGGATAAGGATCAATTTATTCATTGAAAAACTGTTCAGAAAATGTTCTGAATTTCAATGATTTTATTGGTGGGCCTTCGAAAAAATGTTTTTATGAAAAACTTACGATATTCACATGGTGGACTAATTACACTTGATAATAGTCTTCACCAGTAACGTATATAAGGGGTCTTGTGGGAGCCTAAACCCCTCTGAAATCTGAATTTGAATCACATTTTTTTTGTATCGTTATCAACAAAAATAATTTGATCAGATGACACAGAAAATGCATCTATTGAAAACGTTTTTACCAAACTAGAACAAAAATACTGAGGCGCGTTTCTTCAACCAAGTTAGCATCATCAGAATATGACTAAAACTAAATCCTACAACTAACTTAGAACTTATGCAAATCTGGATAATGATGTTCATCAAATCAAGGTAATCTAATGAATCGTTAGTATCAATTATTTTTGTTATCATATTTTCTGTTATATATTAATAACTACTGTTTCTGATATTTCCCCGATTTCTACCTGTAATTATTGCATAACAGAGTAAACAACGCACCATTTGGATTGTGACCTTTGTCGTTAATCATAGATTTCATTCCACACTATTTAATTTGTAAGCTTTTCAAATAATTTCAAAATCGTTTGTCATGAACTGGTCTCAACAATTTCAAATAATCCTCACTTATTCAGTGACCGTTGCCCAAGGTCTTCGCTGTCTTCGTAATGTTCAATCCAGTATATGCTCTTAGTTTAAAATTTAACTTAAATGATCATTGAAATTTCGACGAAGTTTTTATAACTACTGGTAATTTTTTTAAGACCCCCTGATGTTATTGTATGTTATACTTCCCGTGTAGAAGTTGATCAATATGTAGTTTCTGTAAGAAACTTCAATTTATTGATTAGTTTTCTCATGGTGAGTAATTTGGCAAATAATTCTTGTAGAAATAAATAATTAATATCATCATTTTTTTCATTTAAAAAGGTTTGTTGGAGTGGATCTTGATTCAAAGCTACCATAAATTCGAAAAGCATCATCAACCAGTGACATGGAGTCGTGAAGATTTTTTTGAAAATTATTATTGGTCTTTTCAATTTTTGTTAATTTTGCTGCAGACTTGAGAGTTTGCAGCAAAACATTTGTTGATGCTTCGAATATGTTCTTGAATACCATTCCTACAAAGTTTCAATTTTCAAATTGGTTTCATAATGGGAATGGACTGTAATGTTGCAGGTGTCAATATTCAGATTTTTTCACAGCTCAATATTCTTGCTTGAGTTTTTCTGAATATGTTCACAATAATATTCTTCTGCTTGATTCTATTTATCTTTCCTTTCTTCTGTTACTTTGATTTTCAAATAAATAATAGGAATTTTCTAAAGGGACTATTTGACTCAACTGGGTTTGGCTTGCAAATATATGTCACTTGATTCTGATGAAAAATCAAAGTAGTTTATAAAATTAGCGCAAATTTTGTTTGATAGGTACCACTCACAACATATGATAATGTTTGCCATTTCTGGTAGTTGTAGAAATAAAGCAGAAAAATAAATATTTGTGAGTGCTCTTTTTACCGGTATGAATCAGTTATAACTTCTGCTTATGTGACGGCTTTTTTCTAGCTCCTTATGTTGAGATTGTCTTAGGCAGCTTCATCAACTTTTTTTCCATAAGTATATTTATATGAACAAATTTATATTCTTTGATGCAATAAAATGGTTTTCATATCCCTAGGAAGTGAAAATATTCCTGGCAATACTGAGTGATCTATTTGGTATGAATATAATGTGAATTTTCGACAAAAATTGAAATATTTCATACTGAAGTATGCTTCGAGTATAATTTTCCAGGATTATTAAAAGATATTAAGATATTCC